TTGTGTCTCTTCACTCTGAAGTTGGGTTGTTTTTTTTTTCCATTTCTGTCATTTGGGGTGGAGAAAAAGACAGATACTACACTTGTGTCATGGAAAATTATTGCACGATTCAGTAACATTGTACATAAAGGAACAGTAACTGACAGATGCATAGGAATTACTGTGCCATATTAGACTAATGGTGCACATAGTTCAGTACCTTTTGTCCCAGAAATAGACAGTTCTAGATGTCTGTGCATCTGGAACTGATGGCTTTGCACCTCAGCATTTAGTATAACTGCAGCCGGCTCTGTGACAGTCCCTCTGCAGTGTCTGTCACTCAAGGAAAATACAGAACAGGCTTTACAACAGAAACAGGCATTGTTCCACATCACTGCTAGTTCAGGGACGTGGTGAGTCTGATGCACTGTGTTTGCTTCTGGCTGCTTATGTGTATCGCTGTCTTTGCACATCCAGTAGGAGCTCATACATCATACCTTCAATTTTATATCTAAGGCTCTCAGTGGTATCACTCCTCACTTTAATAGCTAGCGGGCTATGCCAAAAGTTCTGGGCATCTAACAGGCTTTGCTCTTTGCTCCTGTGCCCTCTCTGTCATTCTTCACATCAAGCATTTTGAACTTGCTGATACATCCCGACCTTCATCTTGGTAGAAATGTGGACGGTAGCTGCCAGTTACATTGTTCTGCTGGAGTTTTAAGTTATGTTGAAACATTTAATTAAAGAAACTGTTAATGACTCTTGCATTTTAAAAAGATATCTAACATGTAAAATTTAAAAAAAAAATCAAATGGGAGATGGCACAAAGACAGTTGTGGCCTGTTGGACTATACATAACCTCAGCATCAGTTGCCTCGCCAGGGTCTTTTCATATAAAAGATCATAAGCCCTTTATTTTGTTGTAAGCTCAAGAAGAGTTGTAAGCTTAAGAAGAGACGGCATTTTGGGAAGACTGTCTCTCTCATGCATAGCTTGAGGTAAAGAATGAGGCGTTCTGCAACATGTAGTTCCAATTCTGTCTTTAAATGTGTGACGAACTGTGCTGTTGCCAGCTCTGTAGGGGAAACGAGCGTGGGTGTGGGTGGGCGAGGGGCTAAATTTCATTTCAGGGGATGATCTCTAAACAGTTCTACAAGCTAAGCAATGTAAGCCTAATATTCTAATTCCAAGGGGACTCTTGACACTGCATAGTAAAATTGCTTATTAAATTGCAATGAAGAAAAAATAAGGAGATAGACACTATTCAGCTGGCAGCATACAGAAAAAAAGGCTGAATTCTAATTATCTGAATACCAGTTTTAGTGTTCTTTTACTATGGGAAAATAAAATTAGCTTGTCACTGATATCATTATTAATGTATGAGATGAGGCAGAAATACAATTTGGTTCCTAACACACCTTCTGCTCCTTCTCCCCACCCCCCAAAAGACAGAGAATAACCTAAAAGTAAACCAGGCTTGCTTAAGGGCTTTCTGATACAGGGAGCTGTGACAGATTTCATTGCTACAGTAGTAAAATGTAGATGGTTTGTAAATTATCTTAATTTGAAGGTGGGGCATTGTGTAAACAGTAAGTATTGCATTTATTATTTTCCCAGTTAGATCAAAATGTAAAAAGGCATGTCCAATATCAGTTACACTGTTTATTACTTTAATCAGAAACAGGAAATATATTTTCAGCTACTCCAAACCTTATGTGTTCTTTTATTATGCATGAGCAGCTATTACTACTGTTCAGTCATATACATCTCTTAAGGTAGTCATATTGCAATCTCTGCCTTTTGAATGGCTTTCAAATAAATAAAACAACTTTTTAGCATAAAAAGATAGTCTGGAAACATAATTAAGGATTGAAATTTACATTTTTATGAATATAACATCTTCATACATAAGATGAATCCATTGTAAAAATTTTAGAGGTTTTGCTTCACTTTGTCATTAGAGCTAGCAGAAAAGAATTTTATTTTACATTACAAAACTGCACACATCTTATGCCCTTGAATGTGAACTGCCTTGAATTTTAAGTCTGTTCTCCATTTTCATTTTCACACTCAATGAGCCACTACTGTTTCAGTACAAAAGGGATCAGTTAGTAAAGCTGTATCATGAAACTAGTTGTAGAGTCTAACCAGATTCTTTAAAACTCATTTATATTTAGCCAATAGTCACAAATCTAGCTGCAAATACTGCTTGAGATGTGACCTCTTTTTTGAGTATCGTTTGGGAATACATAATCAGATTTATGAAAAGAATACACTTAAAAAATAATTTTCCTTATCCATATTATCATATAGACATTAAAAGTAAAATCTATAAAAATTCAACTGTCTTTTGTTTGCATGTATAGATTTCTGTTTTCCCTAAAAGTAGATATTTAATTATTAACATAAGACTTTTCATTAAAATTTAGTAAATAATAAAGTATTAATAAAAGTCTTCAAATTAGAAATGTATTCTCATAGTACATGTATTGATTCATCAGTTTGTCCTGATAAACAAAGTCTTACAGTAACACAACCATCTAAACTGGTAGACTTTTTTTTTCCTGTCATCTCCTGAGATCTGTGATAAGGAAAGAAAATATGGAATTTTTCTTTTGCATCCTCCCTCGAATATTGGTGTGGTACTCCAGAAAGTATCTTGAGTCAACATAAAGCAAAAGGCATCAAGGGGGATTGCTTGGTAAGACGAGGTTCAGACAGTGAACTGTTGTGTTGGAATAAGTGTCTCACCTTCTACATCATTTGTCAGCCAGGACTGATATGCTGATGGTGAGGAAGGGCTTTTAGGGTTGTCAGGGTAGTGCCTCTTGTGATACGGTTTAGCAAGAATGCTGTGTACCTTTTTAAAATTGCATGTCTCCAGATTCAAAGGAGGAGTTAAATGCCTACCACGACCTTGTGATGTAGGCTAGGAAAATACTCATTGTCCCCAAAAATCTTCAGAAGCCAGGGATCTAAGGATGGAATTACATAAGTTTGGCACTAAAATGTTTAAAAATAAAGGACTAAACTTGATCCAGTAAAAAGGATAAGGCCCATAACTCTGTGGTGTGAGGAGATATTTTGAACTATATTCTGCAGTTAGACCCTAAAGCTATCTGTTTCTCAGAGGACACATCCTTTTGGTCCAACAGCCCAGCATGTACTGTACATTTGGGACACTGAATATCTAAATCTTCCGCTGCCTAAGGAAACTTGGACTCACATATCCCACCAAAACACCATTGCAACCAGACTGTGAGCTCAAACATCAAATGCTCTTATCCAATTTGTTTAAAAGGTTTATTCCCTGGGGAAGAGACAAGAAAAAAATTAGGCAGATCTTTCCTTGGAGAATGTCCTATCGCAAATCTTCTCTGCCTCTCTGTTTCTTCATTCTTATACCAAAAACACTTGTAATTGCTTCCCAAGTGGAAAAGCTGTACCAGGAAGGGACCAAGACTATCACACCCTGCAGTGCTGGCTAGGGCAGGCTCAGAGATGGCAGCAGGTGGGGCATAAAGTTCTTTGCATCGCTGGCATGCCAGAGGAGTGCTCTGACCACCAGGTTATTGGATTAAGAAAAGGGGCTTGGGCAAAAATACAAAAGTATTACCTTTACCTTACAACTGCTAAAAACAGTAGGTGGTTTGCCACTGACTTCAACCACAACTGAGCAAGCAAAGGCTTTAAAAAAAGCAGCTGCAAAAAATACAGCATACAAAGGTCATCTTAGCTACTATCATAACTATCATACAATATAAATATTAACCTTTTTCATCAGCAGGTGAGACTCAGTGATGAGAAGTTAGCTTACTGGCACATCACCACAGACACAGAGCTTTGCTTTTGAACGCTTTTTGGTAGAAAAAGCATCTTCTCAATCAGTTGAAGTTAGGCCTCAACAACTCACAGACTTTTTTTTTTATATATTCAAAGCAAATTAACAGAAATTTACATACTGGTTTTTTAACTGTGGCTTCTCTTCAATTGCCAAACGGATGTTCTAGTTCATTTCTTCTTTTGTTTCTGTCAGAAATATAATTATAATGCCAAGCGGAATCTCATAGATTGCTTGTTGAAAGCAACTACTGCTAAGTGAGCTCAGCTCTACTGACTGCCTCCTTCTACCATCTAGTGGCGCCTTAACCATACTGCGTGCTCTCATTTAGAGTTATATGGAGAATGCTAATAAATGGGGATTTTTGAAAAGAGAAATATATCTGCAGAAGAAATACTTTGTTGTGAAAAGGGAAAATAGTTTTCATACATAAACTATTTGTGGGAGAAGAGACCAGGTTCAATGGTATAAATTAATCATGTCAGAGAAAAATTCTGCATACTGTGGTCTTGCAAAGAGTAAGTCAGGTTTGTTGATTGAATTTGTACAGATTTTTTTTGTGGTAGCACTTGGATTTTAAGTTGAAAGCTGCAGAACAAAGCTATTCAATATCCTAAGGAAACACCTACTAGAAACACACTTGGTTTGCTATTTAGCTGGATATTTAAAGGGCACAACAAAAATTTAAAATATCATCAAGAGTGAAGAATAATAGAAAGGCTATAGTTTCCTTTCTGCTTACATAATTTTATTACGTGCTTTCGGTGTTCCATTTTGCAATAGATGTTTCTATTTCATTTAAGGAAAAAGAGATTAAATGCCAATGTACTAGGAATTTCAGGCTTGGGATGTTTTCAATCAAAAGGCATGTTCTGACTAATTATATGACTCTGAACAAACATGAATCATCTAAAATGCTTTCTGTTCTTTGAACTGAGGTGGGTTTTTTTTTAACAAAGTGCTGGGTTTGGTGAATTAGACTACAAATGAAACCAAATTTTTATCAGATTCTGAAAAAGGTATATTTCTTCCTTTCCGCTTGCAGCAAATTGACTAGGCAAATTGACAGAAGGCAGAATGTAGAACCTCAGCATCCAGGATATGTTTTGTTTTCTTATCTTTTAAACATTTGCTGTTCTGTATTCCGGTCATATTGATAAGTTGTCAACATATTTTCCAGGGTGGAAAAATCCCCATAAGGTGGACTGCTCCTGAAGCTATAGCTTACCGGAAGTTCTCTTCGGCAAGTGATGCGTGGAGCTATGGGATTGTAATGTGGGAGGTGATGTCCTATGGTGAGAGACCATACTGGGAGATGTCCAACCAGGATGTAAGTACTGCCAAGGACTAATCTGCAAGTTGTGGAAATGTTCCTTGAAAAATGATTGTCACTCCCTGCCCTGGTTTGCTTTCTCATTCACTTTCTAGGCTGGAACCTCAACTTATTTAAATCAGCATAACTCTATCAACTTCAGTGGGAGAGTTAATTTATGAAACCTGAAGACCTGGCGCTCTATAACTAAAACCTTGACTAGCTTCCTCCTGTGGATTGAAGGCATATTACAGAGAGTCAGGTTCTGATGCTGACTATATGTGGCTTTCACCCAAATCCCTGGGAATCTGCATCAGATACACAAGCTGATGCAATTCTCAGTCAAGCTATAAATCAAAACTTGAGGGAATATTGGAACTATTCTGATGATAAAGTTGGCCTATTATCTCCAGTACAGTCTGACAGTACCCTTCAAAGGGCATACATGGTTAAATTCTAAAAGAGGTAAGCTGCCATGAGAAATGTATTAGCAAATTCTACTTTCAAAGAATTAAATGCATTCTGTTTTCCTTAAAAACTACCTGCTATAGGGTTAACCACAGTGCAGGACAACAGCCCTCCCTCATAACAAAGTTATGTTTTCCTCTGACGTTTTTTGCAAAAGTTGGGGTCAAAGCCTTCCCAATTAAAAAAACACATTTGCTTCTAGTAAAGTTGAAGGCTTGTCCTAGAAAATGAAGCATGGAAAGGGGGAATGCTTTTTTCTCCACCACAATTTAAATTTTCACTAATTCTCTTGTTTGATGGATCCCCATGACAGCTCAAACTGGTATACTCAGTATTCTCACCAGCCATCAATCTCTATGTCAAAATGCAGAATATCAGCCAGCCCACGTAACCTCTCTCCTATATGAGCACATATATACAATACCTCTGTATTGGTTCTGAAGAGTTGACAAGACTTTTCCCAGATGGTTGGTTCTATATTGTTGCTAAGTTATTCAGCTGTTCAAGTCTAGTTGCTTGTTAAGGCTGATCAGTCACTGGGGATAAGGATCTGAGAGAGATTTTCATTAAAAAAACATCATTTCAGAGTGTTTCAGGAAGAAAAAACAAAACAAAACAAAAAAACCCAAACCAAACCCATCCAAACCAGAAAAGACTAGCAGAACTAATAAAGCATTATTTCCTTTAGATTTGTACTCTACAGCCTCACCAGTACTATAATCCTACTTCTCTTCAGCATTTCTCTTGTGAGTTTAGCCTTTGGAATTAGACCACCTCTCCTGTACATCATTCTCCCCTGACAATGCCTACAGGCTCCCATTCACCTCCACACATCTACCTGCCAGCAGCTCAGCTTCCTGCTGTGCTCCTTAATTAACACCAGGTATGGGACAATACACACTGTGTCTGGTTTTGAGCTATGCTTCTGTTGATTGACCAGGCAGTGGTGGTTGGTTGCCCAGCTGAAGAGAACAAGCAACCACTGAGTTGAGGTAGACCTTCTTCTTCTTCAGTGGAGGCATTATTTTGGTACTATCTGAACTATAAACATGTCACAGATCTACTGTGAAATAAGCAGATAAGCCCAGTAGGCTCAATTCTGTTTCCCACAGCTAGCAATCTGTTGGCATTTGAGATGCTCTAGAGTAACTCAGATGTCCACGTGTGGCTGACGCGGGACATGCAGGAGACCTCAGTTCTTCTGGGGCAACAACTGAAGGTCAAGCAGGATACCTTAGGGAGTTTAAAATTAGATACCTATGCTTAGGCAACTGAATTAAAGCTACTTTTTCCCTGGGGCACAGTGTGAAATCATCTGTATACAGATTTCTCAAATATTTAAGTCTCTGTTGCCTACAACCAACTTTATACCTCCTCCAGCTGCTGATTTTTACACAACTTATTTTGATTCAAGTGGGCCAATGGGTTCAAAGTTAATAAAAAAGGATGAACAGGCAGACTCCAACCAACAATATGAGTACCCCAGCTAATTGCTTGCCTAAACTGAGAGCCACTTATCAGCTCCTGAACTACCACAGCTTGCAAACACCAATTTAAGGCAAACTGCCATTGTTTTCCTTAAAAAGCCCCACCGTAACATGTGGTGGTTTAGGAGCAGATTCCTAAGGAGTTGGGACATCACTTCAGTCTTGCAATAGCAGAGGGTGCTATTCTTGAGCTAATCTCAGAACCAAAGCCGAACACAGCCCTGGCAGGATCAGCCTGTTCATCATTAGTATGATGTTGCAAAACCTGATTACTCTGAATTGCATGGAATGCACTTTGTATCAAAAGGCACATATAGCCTCAAATTTTCTGTCTTCCCAAACTAATAGATGCAACGGTTAGTTTCACTGTGAGCCTTAAAAAGGGGAGCCCTTTAAAAAGGGGAGATTGAACAGAACATGAAACTGGGAAAAAGGTACAAGCAAATCACAGCATCGCACAACAGCTGAGGTTGAGGGACCTTTCAAGATTGTCTATTCCCACCCACCCCTGCTCAAGCAGGGTCAGCTAAAGCAGTTTGCTCAGGGCTGTCTCTGATCAGGTTTTTAGTATCTCTGAGGATGGAGACTCTACAACCTCTCTGGGCAACCTGTGCCAGTCACCTGTGCGGTAGAGAAGTGTTTGCTTACGTTTTGATGGAATTTCACAGGTTTCAGTTTGTGCCCATTGCCTCTCTGCCACTTAACACTCTCTGAGGAGTAAGTACAATATCCACATGTGCCTTTGTGAGTGAGGCTCACTGGGCAGTTACTTTTTCCCTGCCATCCCCATTAGTACTACCTGGCTGAGGGCCCGCACTAATCATCAGTGCAGCAGTGGCTCACTGTCCTTTCTGCTGTTGCCCCTGTCAGTTGCCACTGGCACATTATCTGGGCATATCGTGGGCAATAGACTTTTGCCTGGCTTTTCTCACCATATAATTGGTATTTCATTTCTCCCTTCCCTCTGCAGCACTCCATTCATGACTGGTTTTTTTAGAGATTAAAGAAGCCGATGAGATACTCCTGAACAAAGTCGGCCCTACCATGGTGCCTGGCTTCTGGACAGTGCCAGTGCTTCCAACAGCAATGTCACCTCTCTCTGCCTCTGCCCCTCATTTTGCCAGTCTGCTTATCTAGCTGAAAGTGATGGGCAGCTGGTCATGGCTGCAGGTCCGTGAGGTGGGGGGGAGAAGATGCTTTTTTGCTGCATCTTCGTGTCCCACTGTCATGTGATCTTGTGCTACAACATGGGGAATTTCAGCTCTATTCGAGTTGTGAGTGATTTCATCTGGTGTTGGGTCAACTCTCTATGAGGAATCCAACTGTCATCATCTCTTTTACCTCTCCTGTAATCTTAATCCTTCTCCTCACACCAGCTGCGTTACCAGCCCACCCTCTTGACTCTCCCACTGCTGTTACCACTGACTGGGAATAGGGGGAGAGAGAGACTTTCTGTCAAGTCCATTCAGCCCCACTATTCACCCTGGGAAGAGGGTTTGAATGACTGGTAGGACCCTCACATAGACTCCCAAGTTGCCAGGTGATAGTAATGCATAACACAGACCTTCATTCCAGCTGCCTCTCCCTTTCTTTGAAGCTGACTTCAGCCTGCCCTCTTCCCCTCTATCAGACCCGACAACATATCTATTCAAGGCCATGCCAGCAGTGAGAATTCATAAAGCAAGCCCTCCATTTAGAGTATATTAAATATTCTGCTACAGCATGAAGATAGCAACATTTAATTACTCCTACATCCGAAACAGAAGTATCTGTTAATACAGAATAATGATGCCAGCCCTCTGGATGCTGCTTATGCTAATGACGCTGACTCCTGGGGGCCTTCCCTGCAGTTCAACAACACAAAGCACAAAGGACTCCTTTTCTCTGGAGCCTGACCCACGGGCTTTCCGTGCTGAAATGTTAACAGTGAGCACCTGTGACCTTCTAAATACATTTAGTAACTCTAAATGTCATTGGGAAATTTCAAGTTATTAGACATATCGTAAAGCTTACTTTGCTGGATATTGGGACATTTCTTTTAGTACAATGAACTACCCTGAATTCACATGAGCTTATTTTGCAGAAATAACAGGACTTTCCCAAAGGTCACTGATACTGCACATATGGCAGGGAAAGTAACAGAGAGGGGCATGCACTAAACACATTCATAAAAGACACATTATGCAAACAACTGTTAATAAGGTCTTACACAAGTATAGTCAGAAGTTCTTCTACAACAAAATGTCTGGCAACATTAACATTACAACACTTATTGTGTTTTGATCATAATAAAACTCTTGTCTGGTTAGCAATAAAATATTTATTGAATTGGGTGGATTTTTCTAAAGTACCAAAACTTTTCCAAGTATGAACTCCACAGAGCCGGGTCTATTTTTTCACATTCCATCTTACAAATTGCTTTTCTAGCTAAACAACATTGGGAAATTAATTCACTTTTTTAGACCACGGCTAAGCAAGTGCTGTTTTCAGTGGCTGCCAGTTAAATGTTCATTTCTCACATGGATAACATGGAAGCCAATGAAATGCCCACCCCTACCCAAAGGGAGGCAGTGCTAGGAGAGGTGAGTTCAGCGCTGCCTGACGCGGCGCCTATTTGCTACGTGAACACATCTTCAGTCAGATGAACAGTGGGGCTGGACTAAGTCTACCAAGGGTCTCTTGTCCGACCCCTCAGGCGCAGCAATCAAATCCCGAGGAGCCAGCACAGGTAGCACGGAGTCCGAGCTGATGCGAAGAGAAGTGTTAAACTGATACCCCGCACCTAAATAAACCCAGTCTGATTTTCAGAGACTACAACTGTTCACAAGTACCCATCAAGTCACTGCAAGCCAGAGAGACTCAACACCTCTGCAAATCTAGTGTCCTCTGTTTATATTCCTAAGCAGGGATTTGGAAGCTGAACTTTAGGCAACTGAGTTTGAAAATGCCTCTCATAAATTTTTTAATACTGTAGACAGTGTAATGTAGAGGCTTAAAAGTGTTATTAACTTTGAGAAATATTCTTGTTTAAGTAAATAACCATTTTATTATTGTGGTAAGTCACTTCAGACCTGTGTTGGTGCTGATTAATGCACTTCTTAGGTGTGTGGCAGGCACCAGAGGTGTCCATTAATTAGGGCTGTTGCACAGTCTGTCATGTCTTATTGCTTAATTAATAAACATTAGCTAAGATATTGAACTTTCCAAGGAAACTAGTGTACTGATGAACAGATTGTGCAAAGAGCCTGGCTTGCTAATGTTCATGTGAGGAAAGGAAGATTTATATTCCATGCATTTGGTTTGTAGAACAGCTGTGAGTGAAGTCTACTGGGACACCTGTTACAGGCCACTGTATAAATTAATGCATGTTGCAGAACTACAGTATTCAAATATATATATATATATAATGGATTGTAATCAGTATGCAAGAAAACTACTGTAGCAAACATAATAAAAGTCCTTACGCTTATGAAAGTTTGTTCTAATAGTAAAAATAACTTATCCTAATACAGTTCTTTCAACCCATACACATCAAAACGCTTGGCAGGCACCTGGGAAGGCATGAGCAGCTGCCTCTCCCTCCTGGTAGATTTTTCAGATGTCAGCAGGACACGGGGAGAACATCCCTCTGGACTTTCTTCTGTCTCAGTCACATTAAAAAATCTGTCAGTTATCTTTTGAAAGCAAAAATCTATGTTACTGTTAATAATGAAACTATCAGAAAGATTACAGCTTAATTTTCAGGTGCCATTTTTGCCAATTTGAAATTATTTTGAAACTAAAAATGCATAAATTTCATGTAGAAGCCCATAAAGTATTTTTCAGATAATTTTGGTGTCACAATTAATATTTAATATTAACTCTGTCTTCAACCCTCACAGCTATTTCTAACATCAAACAGAAATGAAAAAACTGTAAACAGGCTCCAGTGTTTAAGATCATCTGTGTACAAAAATATATAAAAAGAATGGTCCTCTTTATAAACATAAAAGCCTAAGTATTAAAAAGCATGGAAATAATTAGGTATGTTAACTGTAAAAAATATTCCTTTTCTCTGAGGGTTTATATTCTCACTTGCCAAAAAGCCTTACTTGCAAAAATACACCCTGCCCATTTTACCCACCTTAATGCTGACCCGCAAGACCTTCTAATGAGTTCCAAACCTACTCATTGCTGAAAAGAAACCTACAGCCTCTTTCTCAGTGTTTGACGGCAGCACAGCATATTTGCATGTTTTCTTCCTTTTGATACCCATCAAGTGTTCGTCACAAAACTAGAACCAGAGAGCAGTAATCAGCCTTTTTGTTAGCAGACTCAGGGCTTTGTATGTATCGAAACTAAGCTAATATTCCTATTCTTTCAGGTTGAAATACACGGGACATTGATTTGCCAATGTGGAAAGAGTTATGCTGATTGCTAGAGTTGTTGCTATATCCTTCTTGTAAATACAGACATTTAGACCATTTCACTATTAATGTGGTGCTTCTTCAACCTTAAACTGGCAAGGCAAAAGGCATTGAAAATATGTTAACATATATAATCTTTACATATTATACAATATATAATTTTATATTACCAAGAAAAATATAATACTTCTTCCCTTTGAGGTATATGGATATCAAATTCCTCTGTGCAGAGATAGGTGCTATGCAAGTAGCAAAGCGGGAGCTAAAATAAATAAATAAGGAACTAAAAAGCTCTAATTCTTCCTTTGAGGCTTGATTTCCACTACAGTATTAGACATCACCTCTTTACTCTTGCTTCTTAGACTCTAAAAATAATACTTGCCTCACAAGGGATACTAATGAGGCAATATTTGCATTTTATTTTTAAAATGTGCTGGTATTAATGAGAAATTATAATTATCCCAGTACCAGCTGGCATTTCTCTTCATACTGAAATGTTCCTTTTGAACAAGAGAGGAAACAAAATGCACTGTAACTTCTTTTCCAAAGTTATACTAAAATAGAGCGTGTCAGAGAAAATATAATGTCTGGAAAATTGTGGTTGCTTTTGTTTTTTTCCTGAATAATTTATTTCAGAAAAACTTCATCAGCTCTGTATTGTTGTGTTATTCGAGTGCCGTATGTCTCATAAAAGTAGAGAAGCATTCCCTTGGCCTTAAAAGTAAAATACATTTCAGAAAGTCACCATTTACAATAGGTACAGTTAAATGTAAAGACTATGATATCTGCAGTTTTGGGCTGCTGAAGATTGCCTCTTCAGTGACAATTATCAACTAAGCTATACCCCACAGTGTAACAAGTACCTATGTTTTATGAAGCCACTTTGGACAGAATGCTTGAGATACACGAGTTTTGACAGTTTTGTGAATAAAATTTCATGCATGTGGGGTTGAATTTCCCCCATCCTGAATCTGCAACGGGAGCAATCTGGGGGGTGTAGTCATTGTTAGGAGGCAAGGCTTTGGAGCAAATATTTGTCTGGCAATCGGATGGCGTTTTTTCCTATAGCAGCCATTTCAGTAGCCTGGATTTGAGTAAACCCCAAGGAGACAAACAAGTAGCCAGAAAGGCAGGTGGAAGGATTATCATAATGATGTACCATTTACTGGTAGATATCACTTCTGTATGTGCGTGGCCAGACCTGTCTACACATATATGATCTGTCAGTACTCACAGGTGCATAAAATTCAGAGATCCCTATGGCAAGTCATGCAGCCTTTGGAGTAGGCTGTACTTCCCAGTGCTGTTGCCGATAGGTCTGAAATTTTGCCCATGCATATCCAATTCCCTGCCGCATTGCAAATACTTGTTTTTCATGCATAGGTGTTTCTGCCAGGATACAAGAGGGCTATACGCTGTAGGACCAAGCCACCTCATTTTATAAAACTCAGACACCCTACTGTGTGCAGCTACAAGAGTCTTGTTCCATTTTCTAGCGTGCCATGAAGGGGAGCTAAGATCCTAATGTAGCTTCATTACTCTTATTTACTTGCATAATGCTTGCAGCATAAGCGTTAGGCATTGCTAAACACAGCCAACAACATTAATTTAGAATTCAAAAAGAGAACGGGGATATATTCCAGAATAATAAGACTGAATATATTGAAGCTACAGCTAGTGCTATAAAACATTGATTTGCTGTAAACAGTTTAATGTACCCCCTTCCAGCTGCATTAATATGTCTGCAGCACGTACACACATCTATGTGAAAACGATAAATGTCTCCTTAAAGCAGAGTGGGTATAAATGCAGTAGGTATGTTTCTCCTAAGTGCACTCTGTTATTATAAATATTATGTACAATCATTTGTACTTTAGAGAACATTTAACACTGGCTGGAGTTTTATGTGGAAGGGTTGGTCTGTTTCTTAGCTTTGTTTTTGATCAACAGCTTATTCTTTCCATTCTTTTATATACAAGAAATCCTGACCATGTAATTTCTGTCATCATCCCCGCTGCTACCACCACTCATTGCAGAACATAGTAACCTTTCCTCTTGCCTTTTAAGTCTGGCATAGAATGAATCCAGCCAGCTTTTCATGGACCTTAACTATATTTGCTACCTCCCATCACGCAGGGCTACTAATGTCCTTTTCAGACCATATTTTTTGTTACCAGTGTTACTAAAAACAAGCCTCCCTTCAACTCTGATCAAATGTAATTTTTCATACATGTGATTTATATGTGATATTAGATCTGTTTCTTCCCAAATCTTGACCAAACAGATTTTCCACATCTGCTGAATCTGGAAGTTTTACTCCCTTTAAGGCATAGGGTAACACCATTATTTTATTAACTTTTGTTTAGCCATAAGCAGCTTGGACATCCAGGTTTCTGAGAGAGGCTGTGCAAAGTAATTTTGTGCTTCACTAACTCAGTGTGTGGGACTTTTCCAGAATTAATCACACTCTAACAATCAGCAGAAATATATTATCACCAAGTAAATTTTCCAGGTGCTACAATGTGTATTTGTAGTGCTTGATTGCATCGTGACACTGCCATACACTAACACTTTGTCAGGATGCAAATACTAGAGCATGCCAGGATGCAGTGGCCGTGCAAGGTTGGTTTGTGGCCCTGTGACTCCACTCAGTCCAACATCAACCTGCAGGCAGATTGAAAAAGATAGTGATACTTGTTAGCTCTTTCCTTTCCTCCTCCTCTCTTGGCTGTTTGAAGAGGATGGCCAAAGAGCCTAAAAAAGTGTCTGCTGCATTTCATATGCCTACAAAATACTTCGCATCTCCTCTGGTCACACTCCTGTCAGTCCTGAATCCCTGCGTGAAGCCCCGGCAATGCTTAAAGTGAGGGTGGCTGTGCCATTAATTGTTATCACTGGTTTGTAATTGTCAAATATACACTGTCCTTTCAGCACTTAACTCTAATGCCCAGTAATCACATGCATTGTATTTCTTTAGGTGATACTGTCTATTGAAGAAGGCTACAGGCTTCCAGCCCCCATGGGCTGCCCGGCTTCTCTTCACCAACTAATGCTTCACTGCTGGCAAAAGGAGAGGAACCACCGTCCAAAATTTGGTGACATTGTCAGCTTCCTAGACAAGCTGATCCGCAATCCGAGCACCCTTCATACCCTAGTGGAGGACATACTTGTGTAAGACTCTCTTTGGTACAGCACATGGTAGCTATAAGTAGATATTTTAGGACGATATAGTAGCGGTGGGAGAGAGCTGCAAAGTTCTGAATTCACAAGTTATGTGGGTTCAAATAACTTTAAGCCCGTTTTAAGGTTTGCTTTATTGTTAACAAACTGTTGTATAAGGATTTTTTTCTTAAGTTATGCAGGTTATATTAGGCATTTTTCTTTTTTTTTTCTTTTTTTTTTCTTTTTTTTTTTTTGTCTGAGCTCTGTTTGTGCACTGTATACCCTTAATCTTTGTGAATCTCTTTGGTTTGGGGGGATTTTTTTGGTGCTTTTCCTGTGTGCTTTCTTTTCTCTTTGTAATTTTTTTCTCTATTCAAGACCCTCTCTCTCTCCATCTGACAGTCAAGCAATTTCTGAACTGCCTTGGAGTAATTTCCTGCAGAAAGTAGTTGTGTCTTAGCTTGCTAAATCTTTATTTATCTGCAGAAGGATGGCAACAGTGACCAAATAAGAGATTATGCTATTACCATTCCATAACAAATTCTTGATGGTGTTGCCCAAAGGTTTTTCCATTAATGTTACAGAAATGAATGCAGCTACAGGAGAAGCAAGGTTGTGGTGGAGGAATTTGTCAATTTTGGTAGGATTATTGATCTAAGGTGTCCCTGGATATCAGCTGCAATCAGTGAAGGTCCAGGTGGCCTTACTCTCTTCATGAGCTGAAATTCACCTTAAGATAAAGGTGCTCTCATGGAGACCCCCCGGCTTTATAAGGGGTCCTCAATGCCTGCATGGGTCTTGCTGGGCGCTTCAGTGGGTTAAGAGGTTTTTGATATGATTTGGAGAAAGGCTGAGCAACAGGGTAAAGAGGCTAGTAGAGGCTAGTATCTTGCTGTGGGAAAGGCTGAATGGAGAGGTTACTAGGGAAACCTAGAGTTAGGATTACAGCCATTTCATCTACCACAGACTAATGCGACTTCTTGGATTTAATGCCCATGCACTAGAGTTAGTGGTCTCTATGTGTATATAGATATATATATATGACTTGCTACATGCATCGCTTTATTTAGCCTCAGACTAATGCAGTTTTATCTATTATTTTAAAACATTATTTAAGATCTAAAAACTTATGCCTGTTTTCTTGCAGTCAAGCTCTAATTGAGCTCACCTGCTTGGGAAAGTTTTTTCATTCATTTGGGAATGCTTGATGCAGTCAATCTGAATGGTTATTGCGTTATTGTTAACTTACGAGGCCAGCAGTTATTCTATAGAATCATACAATCATAGACTAATTCAGGGTGGAAGGGACCTTAGTAGGTTTTTAATTGAGGCTTGTGCTTAACAGTGTTCCCCTGTCCTTCAGTTTCTCTCTCTATCATTTTGATAATACGAATGGAAATCAGTGTTTAAAGTATTCTAATATGTGTGGTTGAAACTCAGTATGTTGAGATACTAGGGTGTGTTGCTTCCTACATTCTACATAATTCATATTCCACCAGTTAATGTTGGCTGGCTTTTGCCGTCTAAATTTTCATTTTAAATAAATTAGATCTTTCTCCTAAAAGCTATCATAAAGCTTTTATAAACAGCAGTGTGCTTTTTCTGCATTCTGTTCCTACAGTTTCTCTACACAAAAAGTATAAAGCCAATGGAAGTTGTGAGCCCTCACCAGTGTCATACACAGCAGAAGACTGGAAATATATGCCCCAAAATTGGAATTTTTTTTTCCATCTTTCTGTTTTGGTTGTGATGGTAGGGGAAAGAACTGCAACAGAACTGTGACTAAATTAGTGCCTTCATTTTTATTTGCTGCTCTGTATAATTCTATGTAAAAGCAAAGATGTAAAATTTTAGTTCTTTTTAGATCTTATTAGATCTTATTGCGGCCTTCCAGTACCTAAAGGGGGCCTACAGGAGAGCCAGGGAAGGACTTTTTACTAGGGCGCGTAGTGATAGCACAAGGAGGAATGGCTTTAAACTGAAAGAGGGCAGGTTTAGATTAAACATTAGGAAGAAATTTTTTACTTTGAGGGTTGTAAGGCACTGGAACAGGTTGCCCAGAGAGGTTGTTGAGGCCCCATCCCCGGAGGTGTTCAAGGCCAGGCTGGACGTGGCCTTGGGCAACCTGGTCTAGTGGGAGGTGTCCCTGCCCATGGCAGGGGGGTTGGAACTTGATGATCTTCAAGGTCCTTTCCAACCTAAACCATTCTATGATTCTTTTAGGGTTAGTTCTAGGTTTTGAACAATGTAATCAAAGCATTCCCACTGCATAATGGTATAGCAATAAGGAGCCATTTGGGGGGTTTTTTTTGTAGATAAATGTAAAAATCATCTCACAGTGTTTTAATAATATTTTTAAATTGTATCTCATGTTAAATTTTGTTTCTCTTTTACTTTGACTATTGTATTTACAAATTGTTATCATCCTGAACACATAAGATCTGTAAAGAAACACTCTGTGGGAGCAAAAATAAGAGTAGTGGGAGAGGTCTGTTCCTCAGTTTGTTACTGAGCTGCAGTGCTTTAAAAAAATGTATTGTCTAAGTAGTGCAACTTGGCAGACTGACATGATTTGTAAGTTTTATACAATGGGTTAAAGAGATCCTCAGTTAAGATCTGACCTTTACAGCTCAGGCTTCTCTCTTGTTCCTTCTGCCTTTTAATAAAAACAATGTCTACCAGAGTAAATCGTGTCATATTTTGTACTGCTTTGGTAACCTTTGCATTTTGTTTTTACAGAATGCCAGATTCACCTGGTGAAGTTCCAGAATATCCTTTGTTTGTTTCAGTCAGTGACTGGCTGGACTCCATAAAAATGGGTCAGTATAAAAATAACTTCATGGCAGCAGGTTTCACTACTTTGGATATGGTTTCAAGAATGAGTATTGAGTAAGTATGTAATCTCTTATCCCTACAGTGACTAATCAATCTGAATTTCTTTGGGTGCTGCAGGGATGTAATTATCATGATGTATGGAACACTGCTTTCATTTTCTTTCCTACCTAAGCTAATAAAAGACAAATACAGTATTTTACCAAAACAGTGCAGGAGAAAGGTGTGATTAAGAGACCAAGAACTGTCAGTTTCATTCTATGAGTCTACCAAACACTGCCAAAGGTCAGGCATAGAACATCCTTAAATGTTTCTTGGGGAAGTAGTTTTTATCTAGACCACTGAAATCAGTGGCAAAAATCTTGTCTTACTTTGCTGTGAAAATCATCGAGCCCATGTCAGTCCTCATGTGGAAGTTGTTCCACACATTGCTGCCCTTCTTCAGCCATCTCTGACTCCCCTCTATCATTTTTAAATGAAAGCACTGCGCCCAATATATAAGGGATTGGGCAAACTATAGATTAATGTGGTAGCATAATGATACGATGTATTTTGTTCTCTGTTCCCTTCCCATTAATTCCTAATCTTTTATTTGATGCTGGGGCTATCTGTATTCATAATGGTAATGGTCAGTTAAGACTCAGTAATTTTACATGAGAAGTTAGGACTGGTTTTCTCCCATGTGTATCACTTTACATTCACCTACATTGAATTTCATCTGCTGCTTTATGGCAGTCACTTAGACTTATAAGATCCTTCTAAAACTCTTCACGGCTGGCCCTTTCCCGTACTGCCCTGAACAATTCAGTTTCACCAACTGACTTGTTCACCTCTATGCTCACCTGTTTTTCCAGACCATTTACTGATTTGTTGAACAGTAATGTTTGGCATTATGCCAGCATAGGTCCCTGCAGGTTTCCATTGATCACTACATTGTAAAACCTGACAACTTGTTCCTAACCCCCTGCCTTTAAACCAGTTATTTAGTCATGCAAATACCTTCTTATGCCATAGCTCCTTGTTTTCCTTATAAAACTCTGATGAGGAATCTTCTCTAAAGCTTTTGGAAATCCAAGTAGGGTGTATCAAATGGATCGCCTTCATCCATATGTATGCTGACTCCTCCACTGGAAACAAATAATTTTATAAAATAGGACTTCTCTTTGCAACAGCCATAAGTAGATCATTTATCCAAGCCTCCAATAATGCTGTACTTTACTGTATATTCTATTATGCCCTGTAATGATTACAGGCTTACAGGTCTGTAGTTCCCCAGATGTCCCCTGGAAACTTATTTTGCCTGGCACCACTCTTCATGCCTCAGGCACTAAGAAATTTTTTAAGCAAGTGGAACAAAGCTGAAACCGTCCTCTCTCACATCCCTGTTAGTAATCCCATGACTTCATCCTTGAACTCTTTTAAAACTCTTGGCTAAACATAGCCTTGTCCTGGAGGTGGGTTGTTGCTTGTTTTTTCAGTTTGTCCTATAACCTCTCCTGCAGTCACTTCAACTTCAGACAGATCCTCTGACAAGTACTCCATAAAGGTTCTGGCATGGGAGTCACTTCAATTTCTTCCACAGTGAATATCACCTCTAGTAATTGGTTTAGTCCTCTGCCAGTGGCCAGTCTTTCAGTGTTCTTTTGTACCCAAACCATCATTAGACTCTACAGACACTCTGGCAGGCTTCTTGTACCCTAGTGAGCTTGCAAAAAGACTTATTATGAGTTTTATTATTAGGTGTCTGGTTGTTCCCCCAGTTCTTTTTTAGCCTGCCTTGCTGTGCTTTTACAGATAATCTGTCTAAAGTTATCATTCTTTCTACTTTCTTTCTTTTTTTAGATACCACTTCAGCTTTTTGAAAGATGCCTTCTTTCTTCAAATGACCTCTGTTACCCTAGGCCTGCTGGCTTCTTTCTGAGCTTTATCAGGCCTTCCTTGATAACGCCTATGCATTGTTCCTGCATTTCTAATACCAGTCCCCCCTGTAAAGGTTCATTCTTTTAGCTGGCTCTTTTTAGCTTCTAAGATGCTCAGTATTTTTGCATAGTCCCTGCTGACCTTAAGTGCTGTGCATCATCCCCTATGTGGATGTTAAGCCCAAGTATATAATAGCTGCTGCTATCCAGTGGCTCTTCATCTGGAGGATACAGAGCTGGGTATCTTGAACTGCAAATCTGAAACTCAGAAAGGTCATGCCTCATCCCATGGGCTCCTTTACTAGCTATATTGTTAAACAATTTTTTAGGGTATCTAAACAGGTGATGTCTATGCGGTGTCCCAGTGTGGGATTTGCATAATTGACAGGGCTTATCTGAAGTTTCCTGCCCTCGCCACCTCTGTGATCTTTCTCAGCATATTGCAGTTGGTGATGTTTAGAGAACACCTGAACTAGTGGATTGTGCTGGATGCTGAGGGCTGCTAACTTCATTCCTGCCAAAAATTCACGCTCTGTGGGTGAGCTACCTGTTCTGGGCTGCAGGTCTAGATGAGATGAAGGGAAACCAGGAGGTAAATCTGCGTTGAGCTGGAAAATTCACTGTTATTCTGATCTTTAGGACATCTCTCACCACCATTCCCCAAATCATCAGAAACACAGCCTCTGTTATTTCAGTCTCAGAACTGCAAGACTGAGTATATCAGCCCTGTTCCTTTGCAAGTATGAGTGGGAAACATTTGCTACTAACACGTTACTAAAACTGGGCTATTAGAACCCACCTCTTATGTTCTTCCTCAAGATTTGGAAAAATTACTTGACTGTATCACAACAGATACCACTCCTCTAAGATTTTTTTTTTTTTCCTTAAATGACCGTCTTTAAAAACTTGGAATTGACAGGTGCAACTTGACTTGAACTTGTTGACTTGAACATTTGTAGCTTTCTTCTATGTCCCACTCAGGAAAGTAAACTGTCTTGAAGTAGAGCAATTCATCATATATTTACAGTCTTTTGTGTGGAAGAGGCTTTACTATGCTTGTATCCAAGATGAAACTTTTTATTTTACAGTGACATTAGAAGAATTGGAGTTGTACTCATTGGACACCAGAGACGAATAGTCAGCAGTTTACAGACTTTGCGGTTACACATGATGCACATACAGGAGAAAGGATTTCATGTATGAAAGTACTAGAATCAACTGTGTTTTGTGCCTCAGCATTTCTAAAATGGAAAAATATTCTCATTCTTCCCTTCTGCTCTTCCCAACTTCAAGAACTGCAGTCTCCTCTTCAAACTATAAAAGTACTTCTATGTTAATGCTTCCAAACTGGAATTTTTAATCTCACTGCATAGCTCCTCCGCCAGTTACCTGCCGATAAAATCCTGGCCTACTGCAAGACTCTTGCTACACATTGATGAATAACTCAGCATGGATGTGTAACTTTGTATAACAGTATTTGGGAAACTTTCATGAACTTACTTGAAAGTAGTAATCTATTTGGCCTGGTGTGGCTTCTTTATTGATGTATTTAGAGTTTGCTGGTAGATCAAAAAGTATTTGACTTCTTTCATGTTCTGTGACCATGTAACTTCCAATACCAAATGTGCAATCAAGGAGTTTGACATAAATATTTATTTTATCTCTTAATTAAATCCAAACATATGGATCCTATCATTATATTACTTTATAATAGTTTGAATGCTGGTACACCGGTGCCTCAAAACCTTAGTATTGTTTGCAGAAACAACTGATGATTTTATGTAGCGAGTTTTCATTGTGTGAATAATTGGGAGGATAGTGAGAGTTTGAAATCTTAAGGTCCTTGATTTTTAATTACTTTAGCACTCGACACTTTTTATGCTTTACATTTTAGATTAGGTTGGAAAATGTGTTCATCCTTTGGATTCTTGACTACCCTAAACCTTCTGGTTTTTTGTAACACTCAGTATTTGCTTCTACTACATGGCAAATCATCACTGGAAAACTGATTGTAACGTTTCCATAACCACGTGTAAAACATGGTTGTCAGCTATATTCTGGCCACATAGACTTCAGAAAGCTTTCTGTTCCAAAAATGCAGGAACAGCCTCCGCTGCTTGAACTAAGCCTAATTTCCACCAGTGGTAGTAGACCTTAGAGGGCCAGCCATCAGTGGGGCGGTGTGCTTATTCCCATGGGAGCAGGCCGGCCATATGATCCTCCAGTTAAGGGCAGTGGTACAACCACCAACTAATTCTGGAAGTTACACGCTGCAGTATTCGGTTATCTTGTACATAGGCAGAAAAGGAGATGTAGGACAGCAGTGTAATAATATGTTGCCTTGAGTCTACTTCTAACTGCTTTTAGAAGTGAAAAGCAGACTCTGCTGAAATGGAGCTCTGGTTACTACAGGCTAGATCTTCATTTAGTACAGATATCTAAATGACATCAAAGTCAACTGTCTTTAGAACTCTTCAATAGCCATATTTACATGCAAGAAAATGGCTGCAAAGGCCTAACATAATATTTGTACCTCTCTAAGACTTACAGCTTTCATGTTTTGTTCAGACAACGTACACAGACTTGCTGGGCTACATTTCCAAACTTTTGCATGGGATATGCGCTACTGGGAACAGGGGAACCAGCGCATGTCTGCATGCTGTAGAAGTCACGCCGATCTACATGCATGTTACATGTAAACTGGGTGCAGATGCTTTTGTTGATTTATACATAGTTTGGAGGACGTTTTTGAGTTACGTGGCATTCCAATATACTCAAGCATTATGACTCTTCTGTTAAAACGTGCATTTGGGTAATTAATATAATATATGTGTATATCAGAATTAACTAACTACTTTATGTAATCATAATGATACTTACTGCTTAATTTATGGCTTGTAAATCAAAATGTACTTCCTAACTCTTGGAAAAGGCTGCCATTGTATACCAGTGGCAAAGAAGGAAAATCAGAAAGCAACTCGGAAAAGATTATGCTTCCAACCAGTTCAGAGTAAGACACACTAGGTCTGATTCACTGTTGTCACTTTATGTTGGAATAACTGCATTAATTTTAGTGGGATAAAAGTAGTGCACTAAGTAAATTTTCCTTTTTTTCATTAAAAAAACAAACCAAAACAGATTTAACTGAGGAACAAGTTTTCTAAAGATCAGGATTCACCAGTGTTCTACAATGCCAATTTGATGAGTTTGTTTAAAGATAGGCAGCTCCAGTCCTATTCTAAGCTACAAAGGTAATTTTGCCAGCATGAATAGTCCCGCTGAACTCAGTAGGATGGTACGAGCATGTGGGTTTTGCAGGATCACAGGCCTTTAGTGAGGAAAAAAAGCATTTTTTTCTTTTCTGTGACTGTTATTTGAAAAATTCTCCCCCAATTCCACATATAAATAATTTTTTGGTAGAGGTTCTCTTATGGAAAGAAAATCATACTTACCTGAAGCCCTTTAAAAAAGAAATACTATCATCACAGAGTAATTTGAAAGTTGATTTTCCTTTATCATTTTGTTATCCATTTTGCCTGTCATTGCTTCCGTGGCCAGCAACGTGACATCCATGGAAGAGGCCTCTCTCACAATTAAATACATTACCAAGGAGGCATGAGTCTGTTATTTGTTAATGGGGTTTCAAAATTACTCATAACTAATCCAAACCATGTATGTGCACTTTTAATTCTCCTTTGCATGTTTTTTCATTCCTGGTAGTGTGGATGCAGAGCAGCATGTTATGTGCACACAACCTGGATGCATTTCATGGAAATTAATTTCCAAATTTATCACACTACTGAAAATATATTTTCAATAGAAAAAAGATAACAATACTAGAACATTTATTAATCAGATATATTTTTTATACAAATAAGAGTTTGGGTAACCAGAAAGGAAAGAACAAGGGATTCTTTGGGTGAGGACATTTATTAAAAACATTGTAAATCCAGGATTTTGTGGGTTTATAAGGCTTGGGGGTTTTTGTTGTTGTTGTTGTGGTCCAGTATGATACTTTTATAATAGTTATCTTGATCAAAATTACATTTTCGCCATTTTAGAAACATTTTATTTGCTCTTTCTCTCATTCCAAACCTACTCTTATTTCATTTGGGGCTTTTTTATTTTCCTATGTTTTTCATTTCAAAACAAACAAAAACCCAACAGGGTTTATTTTTCAAATATGAGCTTAATTCTGTGCAGGCCACAAATGTATATGTGAAATTAGAGTAACTTTCTGTGTTACAGGGAATGCTTTCTTCAGGTGAAAATTAGCTCTATTTAGTTATCCTGCATATTGCAGTGTGCAGTTAGAGTTTAAATTTAACAAATTTAAGCAAATCTATTAAGCTGTTTTTGAGAATCTGGCCCACATTGCAGAGTGCTTCATGACTAAAAGTACTTATTGAAAGTCCACAAAATAAAGGGTGCATGATATGCAAGCCAAAAAAAGGGGGGGGCATTAAAATGTGGACATAAGGAAACAGTTCTGTTATTTACAAGTAATATCTATGCGTAGATTTTTCTCTCAGATCTAGTTGTCATTAATATAGAATAAAATCCATCCATCTGTACTGTTCCCACTACTTGTGTATCACTTAAGCCTCCGAAACATAGCTTAAGTGAGGGTCTTGACTGCTGAGCAGGACCAGGTTAGTGTCTCTCGGCCAACAAGTGCACTGTCCCAGCTGTCCATCATGTGCCAACCACAGTGCTTCCAAAGTTCACTGACAAGCAAGTCAGGTGTCTATGCAGCCAAGTGGGGTGGTCATCTAACATGGAAAACATATCAGTCATCCTTACTCAAGCTATCCCCACTTTCAGTCAGAGCCCTGAGACGTGTTGGGAGGAAATCTTCTCACCTAATTTTGGAGGTCTGCATTTGAGCTAGTCATCCAAGGTTCCCTTTTAATCAATGAAGAGAAATGGGCCCTTGTAGAATGTGAGTCATCTGACAAATGTAATTGTTTATTTCTGGTTTAGATGAATTGTGCCAAAGAAGCACTTGTTTCTCTGCATTCAAAGAGATCAAAATGACTAGCTCATATCCAGGCATCTGTGTTTGGTCAGATGAATCTCATGCATTGATTGTATCCAGTCCTTATGCTGAACCTGTGAAAAAAGAGAGGATCTTGTCCATAATGCTGGTGTTAAAACTGAACAAGTAACAGCAGAAGGTTTAGTAGATTTTGCTCATGAGGTGTTTGCACATTGGAATTACTGAGAAGCAATGGGATTCCATGAAGTGAAAGGAAGAGAATCGAGCTATGTCATTCAGATTTTTCTTAAATGAAAGTTACTCTTTTTGTTTCCCATGTGTGTAGATTCAGTCTCTCTCCAATAAAAGCTTAGACACATGCTATGCTTTAAGACATCAGCCAAGACTTTTCAGCGTAAGTCAATCCTTTAATTGCAAATAGTGCACTCAACAATAAATTCAAATAAATTAGTTGCTTTGGACAAAGCATTCTGTGTCCAAAATTGTATTAGGTATTAGCTGGATTATTCTGACATGGAACTCATAAACTTTAGTACTTTGATTTTTCTGTAATTTAAGACTGACTATCCGTTTTCATGTGATAAGCCTAATACTGGGCTCCATTAATTTCTTTTTTAATGTAGATTCATACAGGATCCAAAGGTGGGCCATAAGTAACATGCAGACACCCTTTATTCAGATGCAGTAGAGATTTACTATGTGGAATAGCTGGGACTGTGGAGGTACTTTGTAAGACTGTATTAACCACAGTAATTTCCATCTTAGAATGACCCCATGGGACCATGTCAGCCACCAAGGTGAAGCAGCATAGAACATACTTGTATTGAAGACCAGCTGCTAAATTTCAGCTGGCCCCATTGCAAACTGAAGCATGTATTTAGTTGTTTTAACTCAACTGATGGAATGGTTCTATGGGACACATTCTGGCAGCTGAGAATTTCTCTTATGTACGCAGGGTACCTGTAACTAACCCATCATGGGCTCAGTCTATCTTGGAATATGTCCTGCAGCAAGTGGAAAGGAGGACTTGCTTCTAATCCAGTCCAACACATCTTTTAGAGTAACAAAAGTTAGAGTCATAACAAAAACTCTGTCTTCCATTGCATCTTCTAGGAAAAGTACTAAAAAATAGAGATACTTCACTTACAGCATTTGCACATGGTTGAAGAGCACTATATTCTGTTAAACAGTTTTCTTCCAGAAT